GGAACGAGGCGAGGAAAGGGAACGGGGCGAGGAAAGGGAGCGAGCGAGCGAGGGGGTTCGGAGGACAGAAAGACAGGCCGAAGGGCGCGGGCAAAAAAAAAAAAAAAAAAAAAAGAAAAACACGGAAAGAAAGACACTCACGACCGCAAAATCCCATTAATAAACTGCAAAATCGGCATAAACGTCGTCTTTGTGCGGTTGCTCGCGAGCGAGAAGAGGAACGTCGTCGCCGCCGAGACGGGCGTCGCGAAGGACTCGTATTCGTCTGTGGCGAGGTGGAATAAAGTAGTCAGCGTTGTTATTTATTAAAAACACGAGGGTGGTCAGGAAGTAGCAAGTCGTTTGAGGGGGGACGCGCAGTTGTGTCTTTTTGCGCGTCGAGCGGTGAGGACATCCACCACCCGGCTCGTGCGTCTCGCGTCTCGCGACACACGCATGGAACGAAAAAACCCTGGCTCCCCGTTAAACGCGAAGGACCGCGGCGTCCGCGCACTCGAACGCAAAGCGCCACCAACCGCCACCCCAGCGCCAAAAAGAAAAAACCGCAGAAAATAAAAGACGCGCAACTCACCAACCGACACCCGCACATAATCCACCGGATCGCTCTCCCACAGCTGCTGCCGCGCCGCGTTGAACGACAGCTGCGGGAACACAAACGTCTCCACGAGCGTCTGCGCGTGCGGCTTCAGGAGCGTCCACGTCGACTTGGGTTTGATGCTGCGTTTTGCGTCGGGTTAGTAAACGATTATCGTATATCATAGGAAAGGGTATATCAGAGCATAGGAAAGGGTATATCAAAGCAAAGGGAGGAGGAGAAGAGGGCGCGCGAGGCGTAGTAGTCCGCTCCTTTGCCGAAAACAAAAAAAAAAAAGAAAAAAAAGGGAGGGGGGGGACGCACCACTCTGTGAAAAACGTGAATATCTGGTACTGGCACTTCTTGCTCAACCACGCCTGCCCCGCGACGTACAGCTCCACCTGCCGCACTGGATTCCACAAAAAAAAAAACAAGTCAACCGTCAATTAGCTCGAAGAAGAGAAAGAGAAAGAGGAAGGAGGAGGAAGGAGGAGTGGGGGGGGAGGGACGCACGGTAAATCGCCAATATCTCGGGCGCGAACACAGCGACAAAGTGCGCCGCAAAGTTGCCATAGTCGGCCTGCATCGCGGAGGGCAGCTGCGAGGGGTTGCCGAACCTGGAGAATACATCAGTACTCGTGCGTTTTGTACTGCAAGAGTAGAAAGGGAGAGGGGGAGGGGTAGTAGTAGAGTAGAGAAATCGGCACAAAGGGCGTGCAGGTGATTGAGAGTGAAAGAGAGAAGGTAGGTAGGCAGGGACGCAAGACGCAAGACGCACCGATGGAACAACCGCCCCAACACGCCATACGCCCACTTCTTCGCGCGCCACCACTCGCTGCGCTCGCGCTCCTCCTCGTCCGCGGGGACGGCGTTCGCGGGGAGCTGAAAACGAATTCAAAACAAGTCAGTCGGTGCGCGTACGGAGGAGGAATGGAAACGGGAGAAGGGGGGAAGGGGAAGGGGAGCGAGGGAGGGAGACCGCACGACGCAGCCCGCGCAGACGCCCAAAGAAAGGCACACCGGCGGGCGCGAAGAGAAGAGACCGACCGCCCGCCCGCCCCGGTCGCCCGTGGCTCGGTCTCCGGCCCCGCCCCGGCGCGACAACGCGTCGGAGCGCCTCTCCCGGCGAGAATCCCCGAAGCCTCCCCTTTGTAACTCGCTCCGCCCCCCCACTCGCCACCCCCGGCCATCAACAGCGCCCAAAAACCCAAACACAAACCACAAAAACCCCCACCCACCTGCAGATTAACCACCCCAAACAGCAGCTGCCCCCACGGCACGAGGCTCGCCGCGCTCTGCTGGTGCGCGCTCAGGTGCACCACGATCGCGGTCTTGTAGGTCTTGAGGATGAGGTGCAGCATCGTCGGGATGAGGGGGGCGGCTGGGGGGGGGGGGTTAGTGTTCGTAGGAGGTCAGAGCGAAGCAAGGCAGAGGGTGGGGAGGTGGTAGGGTAGGTAGGAGGGAAGAAGAAGCAAGGGGGAAGAGCGAGGGGTGGTTTGGTGTGTTTGAGAAAATGGGAGGAGCGAGCGGATGAGGGGAAGGAGCGGAAAGGGTAAGGAAGGGATGGGGGGAGGGGAAGCAGGGAAAGGGTTAGGAAGGAGGAGGGTTAGGACGGAGGTGCGTAAATGGGAGGCAAGTCGACGCGTCGGCGTCAGCTCACGCGTAACCCAATGAGCCAGTGCGTCGGGCGCGGGCGAGGCTCGTCTCGCCCGTTCGGTAGTCGCCAAGCAAGCAAGCAAGCAAGGAAGTGCGCGCGCGCCAAGTCCGCAGACAAAGCGGCGTTGGTACGAACGCGTCAGACGAACTGAGGCTCGTCCTCGTCCTCGTCGACGCGCCTTCCACTCCATGCCATCTCCAGCCACTCAGCCCCCCCTAATAATAAGAATAAAAAGAAAGGCAACGCACCCTCACCACCATGCTCGAACGGACTCTGCATCATCTGCTGCGCGATCGCCACCAGCGTGGGGAAGAGCGCGGCGACGAGAGAGGGGAGGATGTCGGCTTTTTGGCGGAATCTGGGGGGGGGGGTGTTAGTGGTAAGAATTGATTAATTATAGAGGCGAGCGAAGAGGAAGAACGCGCGTGCCTGCTGGTCGGTGTGCGTCGTCCGCATGCGCACGCGACGCGATGCGATTGTGCGCAAATGCAGACACAGACAGACAATGCGAGAGATAATAAAAGTAATTAAAAGCAAGGAGAAGAGGGCGCGCGACGCCAATGTCTTTGCTCAGCAGGCAGCAGGCAGCAGCGGCTCGCGCACAAGTGGTGCCGTGGCGTAAGAAAAGAAAAGAAAAGAAAAGAAAACGCCGATTGACGCGCCGTTTACCCAGGTAAGCAGAAGGAATTTTTTTTAGAGGGGAAAGGCCACGGGGACGCAGCGGGCGAGAAAGAAAGAAAGCACGGCGCGCACGGCACGCGACGCGACCCGCGCCCTTGAGGCACAGGAACGAACAGATGCGGGCAGATGACGCGGGCGCGCCACCACAAAAGAAGCAGGCGCCGGCGTGTGCGCCTGTGATGTCATGCACGGGGGCGCGATCGCGCGCCATCGATTAAAAAAAACGCAACCAGGATAAAAAACCTGCAGCACCCACCTGAACGCCCTGACACTCTCCAACGCGGCGACACACCCCGCATGCACGTGGCGAATGTCGCCGCTGGCCAGCAGGGCCTTGACGTCGTCGACGAGGCCGGGCCAGCGCTCGGGGAAGTCGTGGGCGACGACGGTCTTGAGGGCGCTGGCGAGTTGGACGGTGATCGCGCGGCTGGGGGCGGCGGCGAGGAGGGGGAGGAGGGACGCGCGGAGGGCGGCGCGGTCGGAGGCGGCGATCAGGGCCTGGTCGGGGCGGCGGGAGGAGGCGTCGAGGGTGTAGTTGTTCTGCACCCGGTTTTTGAGCCACACAGAGCAGGATTGGCGGGTCGCGCTGGGTGGGGTGACTGGGTCAATTCAAGGCGGGAGACGGGCGACGCGTCGCGTACATATCGATGCTGTCTGCGCCGATGATCTGCAGCAGGGCCGCGAGCATGCCCGTTTCATTCCCCACCTATTAACTGGCATTAATTCATATTAAGCAAAGTAACGAGAGGCTATACCTTGCGGATCTGCAGCTCGGCGGCGCGGCGGGCATTGGGGTCTGTGCTCAGCGTCGAGGCGAATAGATTTGAGAGCGTCTGGAGGTCCATCTCTGCGTCGCTTTCTTGTAGAGTGGGGGGAGGAGGAAGGGTCAAGGTCTTTGAAAAGTTTTTTAGCCGGGCACGTGAGTCGATCAATTCTCTGTCCTTTTGTCGCCAACGCGTCTTTGTTTTCTGGTTGACTACTACGACTACAAAAAGAGTACAAAGTCGCGTTCGTTGTTACTATGCAGCCACCATATCCGAAATGAAATAAACGCCGTACACGCGTCCGAGTATGACGCGAGGCACTCAGGGGTCGCTCGCCATTGGCCATGTCGTCCAGCGCGCGACGGGAGCTGTGACTCAGCGCACTCGGTACCTGGAGTGCAGTGCCTGCCATGCCATCCACGGGAGAAGCTCGATGACGCTTCATCAGACTGAGGGCGGGTTCCAGCATCGCGCGCCTATTCCCGACGCATCTTGCTCAACATCCTCTGTAGCCCAACCCCAACTTCGGTCCCGCTCCCCCGCAGCGTCCCAGAACCACCTTCATCCGCATAGCTCCAAGACGCCCACTGCCAGCGCCTAGCACACCAGCGACATCGACGCTAGAACCGCGTCCCCGGTCCTCGCTTGAGTCCCCGGACTCCGCTTCATAGCGAGGTCGCGAGGGGGGTCACGCGTGGACGCGAAGACGTGGTGCTTTGGCGGCGCCAAGTTGGCGATGCATATATTGTGCGGCGCCGACCTCCCGGGCCTTATTAATTTTCGTGCTGTCTGTCTGTCCGTCTTGCAGCAACAGATACCGTCTTGCAGCTGCCCGAGCTCTGCGTTCGCTGTGTCCTCGTCTTCTCATCTTTTTCCTCGTCCTCCATATGCATCGAGCAGTGTACACTGTACAGTCGCACGGAGACATCACGAACCGCGCCCCGGCCCGCCCCCCGCATATTTTTTTTCAACCTAGTCGGCAAGTACCCTATCAACTTTTCTTATCTTTCAACTTCTTGCAACTTCTATTTCATCTCGCTCTTTCCCGTGCTTCTATTTCGTTTCCTCCTTTCATTCCGTCCTGTCATTTCATTTCGTTCGATATCGATCCTACGTCTCTTCTCAGCCACCTGGAGCCTACGGTGTTCCCCTCCAAAGAACCAGAGAAAGACCCGGAGTCGGAACCAAAGAAAGAAAATAAGATAAAATACTAGCAGACCTTGAAAGTAAGCAGTACGCCGGCCACCAAATTCCAGCTGGTTGAATAATTCCAACACTTCCCATCTCTTACCTACTCATCCGATTCTTGCAGCCATGCAATCACGACTCAATGGCACAACGGTTAGTGCGCTTGCTTGTATTAGTAGTTATTGTGAATATGGACTTTAGGCAAGAGGTCCCCGTTCGATTCGGGGTTGGGTCATTTCGCGCTGAAATGATTTTTTTTCTTTCTCGCAAAATCAACCCTCTTTCTAGATCTCCTTCGTGCTAACGTCCAATACAGTACTACTTCCTTGAATGGCGCCAGCCAGCCAATCAAGCCAGTCAAGGCTGAGCTTGAGTGGACCTGCAAAATTTACCAGAATTAATATGAGCAATAAATTGAACATTTCCCACTGGCATCCCACACCTACTTCAGGTTACCTCATCCTCACACCCACACAATAATGACCCAATGGCACAACGGTTGGTGTGCTTGCTTTACTTAGTACACGAGTTATGAATAAGCAAGAGGTCTCCCGTTCGATTCGGGGTTGGGTCATTCGTCGATTGTGTCATTTTTTTCTTTCTCGCAAAGTCAACCTTCTTTCTAGATTTCTTTCCCCTTCGTGCTAACGTTGAGTATAGCACTCTTTCGGATGGTGCCAGCTAGTCAAGGTCAGCCTTGAGTGGACCTGCAAGTTCCACTAAACCATAATTAATATTCTTTAAACTTCAGCAATTCCTCCTCCCACAACCATGCAATCATGACCCAATGGCACAACGGTTAGTGCGTTTGCTTTACTTATACGATGGACAAGATAGTGGCAAGAGGTCCCCGTTCGATTCGGGGTTGGGTCATTTGGGTAACAATTGCCTTTTTTTCTTTTTCGTGTCAACCGTTCCTCAAATATGTTCTCCCTCCTTTTTCTTCGAACGGAGCCAGTCAAGGTTGAGCTTCAATTTGTGTCCATGCTCGGAGCCAAAGTTACATTTCACCAAATTCCGCCGGTCTCCGAGTCCTGCATGCTGGTTGAAGTATGTAGTAATTCTAGCACTTCCCATCCCTTGTCTTTTACTTATGTTGATCCTACACACATATGTACATGCAATCATGACCCAATGGCACAACGGTTAGTGCGCTTGCTTCAGTTAAAATGTTCGCGATGTCAAGCAAGAGGTCCCTGTTCGATTCGGGGTTGGGTCATTTCATTGTGGACTATGTCTTTTTCTTTCTCGCAATATTTGTTAACGTTCTCTTGAATTCCATTTGTGCTGTAATCTTTCGGATGGTGCCAGTCAGTCAAGATTGAGCCTTAGTATCCATGCAGGTTCCACTAAACCAGGATTACTATGCGCAATTAATTCAAAATTGAACACTTCCCATCCCTTGTCTTTTACTTAACTTATATCGATCCTACAGCCATGCAATCATGACCCAATGGCACAATGGTTCGTGCGCTTGCTTTAGTTGAGGATATTTTGAGGGATTCAGGCAAGAGGTCCTCGTTCGATTCGGGGTTGGGTCATTTGAACTTTGCCTAGGTCTTTTTTTGTGTCAACCTTCTTTCTAGATCTCCTTCGTGCTAACGTCGAGTACAGTACTACTTCCTTGAACGGCGCCAGTCAAGCCAGTCAAGGCTGAGCTTGAGTGGACCTGCAAAACTAGAATTAATACGAGCAATAAATGATTTGGTTCAACACTTCCTCCTCCGAGTCCCTTACCTACTCATCTCACCCTCACAACCATGCAATCATGACCCAATGGCACAATATTACTGCACTTGCTTTACTTACTGTGTGTATAAGGAATAGGCAAGAGGTCCCCGTTCGATTCGGGGTTGGGTCATTCGCCGATTTAGAATCTTTTCTTCTTTCTCGCAATATTTGTTACCCTTGTCTTAAATTCACATTTTGTGCTGAGCTTGAGTGTAGTACTCTTTTGCACGGTGCTAGCTAGCCAAAGCTGAGCCTTAGTATCCATGCAGGTTCCACTAAAACCAGAATTAATATAAGCATAAATTGAACACTTCCCACTGGCATCCCACACCTACTCATTCTATCCTCACAACTATGTCATCATGACCCAATGGCACAACGGTTAGTGCGCTTGCTTTCATTGTTGATTCAGATAGAGGGTTTAGGCAAGAGGTCCCCCGTTCGATTCGGGGTTGGGTCATTTCGCACTGAAATGATTTTTTTTTCTCGCAAAATCAACCTTCTTTCTAGATCTCCTTCGTGCTAACGTCCAATACAGTACTACTTCCTTGAACGGCGCCAGTCAAGCTGGTCAAGGCTGAGCTTTCGTTTAGTGCCCATGTTCCACTAAAACCAGAATTGATATCAGCAACAAATGTGGTTCAAGTTCAACACTTGTCCCTTACCTACTCATCCCATCCTCACAACCATACAATCATGACCCAATGGCACAACGGTTAGTGCACTTGCTTCAGTTAATTTGTGACCATTAGATGGTTTGGGCAAGAGGTCCTCGTTCGATTCGGGGTTGGGCCATTTTTTTGTTTTTTTTCGTGTCACCTTCTTTCTAGATTTCCTTCCCCTTCATGCAGAGCGCTGAGTACAGTGGTAATACTCGTTTGGATCGTGCCAGCTAGTCAAGGCTGAGCTTGAGGGGACCTGCAAAACCAGAATTATTATGAGTAAAAAATTGAACACTTCCCCATCCCTTGTCTTTTACTTAACTTATATTGACCCTACACCCATGCAGTCACGACCCAATGGCTCAATGGTTAGTGTGCTTGCTTTAGTTGTCACGGAGTGAGGGCTGTACGCAAGAGGTACCTCGTTCGATTCGGGGTTGGGTCGTTCCGGAGTTGAGATTTCTTTTTCCCTGAAACTTATCCCCAAATACCTTCTCCCTCCTTTTTCTTTGAACGGAGTTGAGATTGAGCTTTACATTTCACAAAATTCCACCAGCTGGTTGGATACTTCCTCCTCCCACACAATATTCTCATCACAGCTATGCAGTCATGACCCAATGGCACAACGGTTGGAGCACTTGCTTTAGTTAGTCAAGAAAGTCCGCTGTTAGACAAGAGGTCCCCGTTCGATTCGGGGTTGGGTCATCCGCTTCTGGAGTACCTTTTTCTTTCTCGCTCTTTCCCGTCCTTCTATTTCATCTCGCCCTTCATTCCGCCAGTCCGTCTCCTGAGCCACCTGGGTCCTGGAGCCCCAATCGTCCTGCACCGTAGTGTTCCCCGCCAAATCGGAAAGACTCGGAGTCGGAGCTAAAGGACCAAAGAAAAGAAAAGAAAATACTAGCAGAACTTGAAAGGACTCCTCGATATGAGCAGTACGCCGGCCACCAAATTCCAGCTGGTTGAATTAGTAATTAATTCCAACACTTCCTCCTCCCTTAACTATCCTGGCAGCCATGCAATCATGACCCAATAGCACAACGATTGGTGCGCTTGTTTAAATTAGGGTAACACCTTTCTTGCTTATGCAAGAGGTTCTCGTTCGATCCGGGGTTGGGCCGTGTGATTTACGATTAAGAATTATTTTTTTCCGTGAAAGACCTATCCCCAAACACGTTCTCCCTCCCTTTTCCTTCGAGAGCGGAGTCAAGATTGAGCTATACTCGGAGCCAAAGTTAAATTCCACCAGCTGGTTGAATAATTTTAGCACTTCCCCATCCCTCACCTACTCACCCTATCGTCGTAGCCATACAATCATGGCCCAATAGCACAACAGTTAGTGTGCTTGCTTTACTTGATACGGCGGAGTGTCTAATGAGCAGGCAAGAGGTCCCTGTTCGATTCGGGGTTGGGTCATACTCATTACTGTGATTTTTTTTTCTTGCTCGCAATATTTGTTACCCTTCTCTTAAGTTCCATTTGTGCTGAGCTTGAGTATAGTACTCTTTTGGATGGTGCCAGCCAGTCCAGCTTTCGTTTAGTGCCCACGCAAGTTCCACTAAAACCAGAATTAATGTCAGTAATAAATGATTTGGTTGAACAATTCCTCCTCTCACACCGACTCGTCTCATCCTCACAACTATGCTATCATGACCCAATGGCACAATGGTTAGTGTGCTTGCTTTAGCTGTTCAACTCTTTCGCAATCTTAGGCAAGAGGTTCGGGGTTGGGTCATTTGACGATAAGTATTTGTTTTTTTTCTTTCTCGCAATGTCAACCTTCTTTCTAGATTTCCTTCTCCTTCGTGCAGAGCGTTGAGTACAGTACTCTTTCGGATCGTGCCAGCCAGTTAAGCTAGTCGAGGCTGAGCTTTAGTGTCCATGCAAGTTCCCCTCTGAGCCAAAGTTGAATTCCAGCAAATTCCACCAGTCTCCGCGTCCTGCATGCTGGTTGAATAATTCCAACACTTCCCATCCCTTGTCTTTTCCTTGTATCAATCCTCACAGCCATGCAATCATAGCCCAATGGCACATCGGTTAGTGTGCTCGCTTTAGTTATCTAAATCTTTTGCCAGCTTAGGCAAGAGGTCCCCGTTCGATTCGGGGTTGGGTTATTTGACGATTGCCTTTTTTTTTCTTTTTTCGTGTCACCTTCTTTCTAGATTCCCTTCCTCTTCGCGCAGAGCTTGAGTACAGTACTACTTCCTTGAACAGCGCCGGCCAGTCAATTCAAGACTGAGCATGAGTGGACCTATGGCGGTCACTTTGCACATTTATTATTTCGGACTTTTTTTTTCCCACTTTTCAATACTTTTTTCATGTTTTTCGAGCTTTTATACTTTTTTTTTCTCAAGGCACCTTTTTTTTTTTGTTCCATGCCTACATTTCTTTTCTGGACAGTTGCACCAAGGTTTTCTTCCCAGATTGCAACCAACTTTGAGGGAAGTGGGGATTCAAGTGTTCTTTTTTGATACAGTGGCTGTACCTGCCGACCGGCGGGCCTTGATGGCCTCGATCAGTAGTACTATTAATACTACTAAGGGCACTTCAGCTCTCATGGTTAGGCTCAAGTGATCTGTAAGCGGAGGTCATCAATGGTGGGATAGCACCTACCATAGCAGAAGTAGCAGTGGCATACCTTCTGTGATTGAGAAGGAGGTTACCATTGAGTGCCGAAGTCCCCGAACGACTTCGGCCATCAAAGATGATTGACCCCAATATAGGGGCAGGTCCAAAAACACTGTCCATTCCTCATGAAGTTGTGATTTTGGCCGGGGTAACAATAGTTGTCTGCTTCAATGGGAACAAAAGAACAGCAGCCTGGAAAGGCAAGAAAAGTACAGAAAGTTGAAAACCGGGGAAAAAAAGGGTGAAAAAGTGAAAAAAAAAAGCCCGGAATAATAAATGTGCAAAGTGACCGCCATATGGACCCGCAAGTTCCACTAAAACCAGAATTAATATCAGCAACAAATGTGGTTCAACAATTCCTCGTCCCACATGTACTCGTCCTATCCTCACAACTACACAATCATGTCCCAATGGCGCAATGGTTAGTGTGCTTGCTTTAGTTAGGAGGGAAGTTCATGAGCTTAGGCAAGAGGTCCTTGTTTGGTTGGGGGTTGGGTCATTTGGCATTGGATTGGGTTTTTCTTTCTTTTTGTGTCACCTTCTTTCTAGATCTCCTTCGTGGTAACACTGAGTATAGTACTCTTTCAGATGGTGCCTATGTATGGCGGTCACATTGCACATTTATTATTCATGTCTTTTTTTTCATGTTTTCGTGTTTTTTTCGGTATTTTTCATGTTATTAGACTTTTTTTTTCAGGGATCCCATGCTTTTTCTCATCTTTATGCCTTTGAAGGTTTTTTTTACCTTCCAGAGGAATTAACAAGTTTTATTGTAAGTTTTCCTTGTAGAATGTTTGCCATTGGCCATAAATAAATTTCAACATCTAGATAAGTTTTAAGTTTCTTCGAACCACAAGTTTTTTTTTTTGGCCGTGGCCTTTTCTTCTTCTTTGGTTCACTCAACGGGTTTTTTTTCCTAACCCTAATTTGATCCGAGTGGCGGCACAGCCGGCAAAGTTCCGGCTTTCGTCACACGGTCCAAAGCATCCTTGTTTTGTCCTTGCCCATACCTCCACTCCTACCGGGGAATGAGTACACCACCTCTCCCGGTAGTGGAACCCCTATGATGCTGAGACCAAATCCTCCTTGCAAACCTATGCTGAGCAGAATGGTGTGGAATATACTGTGTGTAATGCTGCTAGGGGTAGCCGGTTGGAGTCATAGTCTATGAGACAGTTCAAAATATTGTCTGTGAGTTCTTGTGAGGGTGGAGGCATGGGCAAGGAGGACAAGGTGAGGATGCCTTGGACCGTGTGACGAAAGCCGGAACTTTGCCGACTGTGCCGCCACTCGGATCAAATTAGGGTTAGGAAAAAAAACCCGTTGAGTGAACCAAAGAAGAAGAAAAGGCCACGGCCAAAAAAAAAAACTTGTGGTTCGAAGAAACTTAAAACTTATCTAGATGTTGAAATTTATTTATGGCCAATGGCAAACATTCTACAAGGAAAACTTACAATAAAACTTGTTAATTCCTCTGGAAGGTAAAAAAAACCTTCAAAGGCATAAAGATGAGAAAAAGCATGGGATCCCTGAAAAAAAAAGTCTAATAACATGAAAAATACCGAAAAAAAACACGAAAACATGAAAAAAAAGACCTGAATAATAAATGTGCAATGTGACCGCCATACCTATGGCGGTCACCTTGGACATTTATTATTCTAGACTTTTTTTCCCACTTTTCGGTCATTTTTCCGTGTCATCGTGCTGTTGTACTTTTTTTTTTCAATGACCTTTTTTTTTTTTTTTTTGAATTCTGGAAAACTTTTTTTTCCAGGTTGAACTGAGGTTTCTTCCTTGTTGTGTTCAGCTTTTTTTTCACCTAAGTGAGGGTTCCAGGTATATCTGATGTGGTGGCTATACAGGCCGACGAGCCAGCCTCGATGGCTTTGATCGGCATGGTACGTGTCAGCACAGAGCCTTAACTAGCAGGGTTACTGCGACGTAGGCGACTGGTGATACAGAAAGAGATAGGTTTAAGATAATCTGATTAAGCTCTGGAGAATAGACTAGAATAGTGTAAAGAATACAGAGCTGTAAGTAGGGTTTTTATAGTAAAATACCTAGTAACTGGTAACAAAGTAATTAGAATGTATGTGAAATATGTCAGAGGTGTTGCCAGCGACGGTCAACGTTGCAGCGTGCAACAAGGCGGAGAGGGGCGATCGTTGGAAAAGCAATCGGGGGGAAGTTGAAATAAAAGGATCAATGCGGCACCTGATGGGATTCCTGATCCGTGGTTGGCATTGATCTCGGCATTCAGGTTATTCCGATCGAAGTTGAATAACCCGGGGTGGATGTTAGGCGGATAACCCGGAGAGTTCAGGAATAGGGAAAAAGTGGGAATCATGACATTACCCTCCCCTTAAGGATGCTTCGTCTCTGAAGCATGTCGGTTTAAGCTCTAGGGGGGTTGTATATTTTCCAGCCGCCTCTCCCGTTTGGAATTTCCTTTGGTGCTGCCGGGTTCTTGTTGTAGAAATCGTTGAGTGCCTCTTCCGCTCGTGTTAGGTGATGCTGGGGTTCCCAGGTATATTCCTCCTTCGGATACCCTTCCCAGCGTATATAATACCGCAAGGAGTTTTTTGCCTTCTTAATCCGCAGGACTTCCCCCACTTCGTATATGTCCACTCCGTCTCGTACGTCCGGGGGAGGGGGTGGCACCCTTTTCTGATGTTCAGCCACCGGCGGCTTCCAAGGACGCAGGAATACTGTGTTAAACACAGGGTGGACTTTCCATATGTCTGGAAGTTGCAGTTCGTAGGACAGCGCGCCAACTTTTCGAAGTACTTTGAAGGGCCCGTGCCATTTGTCGTCCAGTTTTTTCATGGGCCTGTGGGTTACGAGGTTCTTGCCTGATAAGTAAACCTCATCTCCCGGGTTGTACCCCGGATCTTCCCCCCGCTTCCGATCATAGAAGCGTTTTCATCGTTTCTTGGGCCGCCCTCATTGAAGCGGCCGCTTCCTCTCGCACTAAGTGCATTCGCTTTGCAAAGTCGTCCGCCGCTTCCGTGAATGGTGAGCATTGTGTCGTGAAGTTTGGATGTTTCGCAGTGTCGTTAAGCTTCCCGCTCGATCCGGAGTTATAGGCAAGACTTGAAGGGTGGTAATATTACTAGTGGTATTAGATAGTGGGCAGTGAGGAGTCTGCCTACACAGACAGTGGGTTGCGGACTCAGTGCAAAAGTATTGAGTGGGGTGTGTGGAGTGGTGGAGCGTGGAGCCGGTGCCGTAGCCGGACCTATATATATAGTGCTGGCAAGGTTCGGTTCGAAAATCGGTCCAAACCTGAACCGAACTGGACCGAACACCAGGTTCAAGGTTCAGGTTCAGCCAGCGCCTGAACCGAACGCCAGGTTCAGGTTCAGCGTTTGCGTCTTGAGGAAGTTGAACCGAACCCCGAACTGAAATGCTCTTATTCCTCCCAATTTACCTCAGATTTCTCAATTTCGGGTCGCGTTCCGGTATTATCTTTGTTCAAAACATACTCTTGCAACCCAGGGCCGGCTGTGGAGGCCATGTAGGCATTACCTTGACGCTCCTTGATGTCGAATGCTTCAAGATTATGTTTGTTTAATCTTCAAAAACCGGATTTCATTATTTTGCGCCCATTGAAAGGTGCAGCAATCACTGTAAACCAGGTAAGTGGGTACAAATTCGGGTTCAAATCTGTTCGAACGTCGAACTGAACCTGAACGCGGGTTCAGGGTTCGGGTTCAGCAAATCCCTGAACCAAACGTAGCGTTCGAGTTCGGTGTTCGCCCGAACTCGAACTGAACCGAACCTTGCCAGCACTAGACCTATATTAACTGGCGCAGTCGATTGGCGCGACTCCACCTCTCTTGCCTTCCCTCCACTAGGGTTCACCAGGGGTAAGGTAAGGGTACAAAAGTGTGTACCTCTACCTCTACCTCGCAGAACCCTTACCCTTCAGAGGTATACCCCTACCTTACCTCTGAAACCTTGGAGGTATGCTTACTAATATTTTATTTTTCATATTTTGTTGGTAGATACCTTCAAAACAAAACTCCTTGAAAGAATTTGATCACCAGATACACTCAGAACATTGCGTTCTTTGTATATGCTCTTCCACACTGGAAATGAACCTGTTTCAAGTGAGTTGAACATGTCATGTGATTTAGGTCATCAATCCTTTACTAGTGGGACTGAGGCTTTAGCGACCTTTTAGTCACTTGGGTGTAGGAATGTGTTGAAAATGTGTATGAGACCATAGTGTGAACATTGAAGTGCTGAAATTGTGTCCTAGGGCACAGAAAATGAGGTCACAAGGTGTAAAGGGGTGTACCTCTAGATACCTCTCTACCTTGGGAGGTTGGGAGAGGTTTGAGCAAAGGTACAGATCTGGCAACCTCTACCTCTACCTTACCCATACCTCCCACTGTACCTTGGGAGGTATACCCTTACCCCTGATTATCCTTAAGGGCCTCCACTACCATCTCCCCCGCCCACATCTCGCCGCTCGCCCGCCCACATGTACGCTCATTGAACGGCGATAAACCAATACTTGCTGGGTTACTTCTTATTGTGCTTGCGAAGATCACCGGGTGTGTTGATTCAATCCTTCATCATCCATGCCTTTCTGAGTCTGACTCGGACGTCGGTCTCGTATCCAGTAACAGCTCTCGACGTTCTCACTCGGTATCCTCTTACTGGTGTTGATTTCTTTTCTATATGGACTCATCATGCTCTCGGTGCGCTATTATTTCAACTCGCGATGTTTTGCTCTGGCTGATCTTACTGTCAGTCAAAATAACTTATTTATATGTAGACTGTTGTTGTACCTTCTAGTCACCAAATATATTTGCTTTTACTCCACTTTTGCAATTCCAGTACAATATTGGCTAGAGCGAGGGGGAGGAGGAACCATTTGCTGCATTCGCCGGTTTGGGATCCATGGAACCGGTTGAAAGGTTCTTAAGCACTTTTGAGCCATGGAACCGGCCCCGTGGCTTGGAACCGCATGGAGGATTCTAACCTGTGCGGTGGAAGCCACCTAAAGCCATTTGACCATGCAATGGCTTCGAACCGGTTCAATGCCAATTAAAGCCGATCAGGATTTTTCCGACAACTCTTTTGCATGGTGCCAGCCAGTCGAGATTGAGGTTGAGTGGACCTGCAAAATTTATTAATATGAGCAATAAATTGAACGCTTCCCATCCCACACGTACTCATCTCATCCTCACAGCTATATATGCAATTATGACCCAATGGCACAACGGTTAGTGCACTTGCTTTCATTGTGATTTTGAATAGAGAGTTTTAGGCAAGAGGTCCCCTGTTCGATTCGGGGTTGGGTCATTCCACAATTCGGTTTTTTTCCGCCGTGAAAACCTTCTTCCTAGATCTCCTTCCCCTTTGCGCAGAGCTTGAGTACAGTACTCTTTCGCATGGTGCTAGCCAGTCAAGCTCAGCCTTGAGTGGACCTGCAAGTTCCACTCGGAGCCAAAGTTACATTTCACCAAATTCCACCGGTCTCCGAGTCCTGGTTCAACACTTCCTCACACCCTACTTACTCCTATCCTCACAGACATACAATCATGACCCAATGGCACAATGGTTAGTGCACTTGCTCTCAATTGAACGGAATATCATAGGATTTAGGCAAGAGGTCCCCTGTTCGATTCGGGGTTGGGTCGTGATTATATGATTCTGTGTTTTTTTCCCCCGTGAACACCTTCTTCCTAGATTTCGTTCTCCTTCGTGCTAACGTCGAGTACAGTACTCTTTTGGATGGTGTATAAACTCATTTTTCATCATTTATTCTAGGTCTCATGCCAAATGAACACGAAGACAGTACATTTTCTACTAGTTTAGCCACTGGTTCGAACTTTTTGGCCAAGTTGAGCATTCAGGTCAAAAACTTCCAAAAAGAGTAAAGGAACTCGGAACTTGAACTTTCAAGTCGAACTTCGATCAAGTTGAACTTGAACTCGGGGATGATGTAGATTAACTCTATCGGCAGCTTGGCTGTGGTTCTGCATCCACTGTTTGTGGGTTTCACCCTCTCCCCTTGGTTTCGAGTGTGATCCAGATCAAGACTCCATACCAGGATGCTGGGACAATGCTGGGATCATAATACATGTAAATAAGGCTGCAATTTTCTCGACCTCTGTATATCACCACAGCAGGAGTATTTGGTATCATTAGATTCGCATTTTTGAGGTCATGTTCCTGCTTCAAGCTGCATGCAAATTGGTCACTAAATGGACACTAGTGATGTTCTGGGTCAGGGCTTGAGCCCGAGCCCGAGCCCAAGCCCGGGCCTTTGAGCCCGACCCGACCCGACCCAACGTAGGGCCCAAGTCGGGCTCAAGGTCGGGCTCAGAATTCCTCAGGGCCCCCGACCCTGGGCTTGAGCCCGGGCCCAACCACTTGACTATCCGAAGTCAAAATTTTGCGATGAGTTGGGTTGAATCCCTAAATTTTTACCTGCAACTGAAGGTGGTGTGAAGTATCTTTTCCCTTTTGGTGCTCACTCAAGATGGGCAGGTGAGTCGATATTCACACGATGTTCTGTGGAGATTAGAGTGCTCGAACAAGGTCAGTGGGTTGTTGCTGGCTATCAAAACATAATTGAGTGCTTTTACAAGGTAAAATACAAGTAATGTATGCTCAAAATTTAAAGTTGAGCCTTACCGAACACCCTTAGAAAATATACTGATGGGCCCGGGCTTGAGCCCGAGCCCGACCCAACCCGGGCCCGACCCTCAGGTAGGGTCGGGCACAGGATATTTTGTGGGCCCAAGCCCTGCCCGACCCGACCCAAGCCCGGGCTTTTGGGCCCGACCCGACCCGAACATCACTAATGGACACACTGATTGTTGTAGTTAGTACCTCACGTTGTGAGGCTTGTGTTCACGCTGCACTGCTCACACCGCCTCATGGCTTGTCTGGACGAGACACAACTAGTGATCACCACGGGTGGCCCGAGGGTCAATTGAGTGTGACCCGTACCCGTACCCGCCATCTGACCCGACCCGAGGCACGGGTGCGGGTTACCCGTCAATTTCCCCGCGGGTGTACGGGTACCCGCGACCCGTCAGACCCGTAGCGCTAACCCACGAGTTGTGCATCAAGATAGGGTATATTTCAAGCACAGTGTACATTAAACACTAATAACTACCTTCTCTTTGCCCTTACCAGACCCCTCTGGCTCAATATCCGGCATTTTGGCGACCGCCGAAATATCATCACTGTCCACAAAGCCCTGCAGACTCCAGCAACCAAGGCACATCAGCATGCGGGCGGTTTCACCGGTGAGACGGTTGCGAATGCTGGAGATGAGGAGCCGGCCACGAGAAAATTGACGTTCGACGTAGACAGAGGTAGCTATGATAGATTAAGTTTAAGGGTATGGTGTTGAATAGAAACTCACGTGGAACCGAGAGATAGTCCCGAGCCATACGAGAAAGGACCGGGTATTTTGTGGCATTCTTGCGCCACCAAACAAGAACATCATCGACACCGCGCGCACGAGGGTCTGCAAGATAGACTTGAAGCTCATCGATCTTAGATTTCGAGGTAGAGGCGGTGTTCTGCTCGACAACATCCATCATGTCGAAATAGTTGCTGGATTGAGAAGACTAGTGAACAGTCAGACACCGGAAAATTGCCGCTCAACAGGAACAAGACGTACCGCCGGCATGCCCTCAACATCCGAAGACTCATCTACCTCGACAACAGCATCATACACATCCTTGTACAGGCCGAAAACCTCCGTAAGTTCTTCCTTTGCAGCTTTGATATCGTCCGTTTCCCAGTCATTATCCTCTAGATAACCAATCTTGTAGCGGGGGTGGAGAACTAAAAAATCGAAATCAGCATGAGAAGACTGCAAGATATTCACATACTTAACGCAATGCGATAGATGCGGCTATGAAACGCAAGTGCATAATACCGGTTCAAGGTGTGTTTCGACCTCAGCAGTGCCGCTTTGATGGGAGCAGAGAAGGTCTTGTTGCCGCTCGGCCGTTGGAGAATGGCCGTTGCAAGGAGTGCATCGATCTTGTCCATTGCGGGGATAACGCTGGCCAGTGTCGCAGAGTCCCGTGAGAAAAAGAGGGTTGCGTCTTTGAAGGACTGCGGTAGAGTTGAGTGACGGTTCAATGTGGTTCAAATTATTACCCACGCAAAGAATCTCTCGAAGATCATCGAGAACTGTCCACTCTGCAGCGGTAAGAGCATAGCTCTGGAGGCCATTAGACTCGTCGTTGGTGAACTCCCGATACCCGCGCCGATATTTGAGCACCATAAATACCATATCATAGGTTGAGTTCCATCGTGTCTTTACGTCGCGGGGGATGATCTTGTGAGGCAGCTGGCAGTCGAGCAGGACTTGCTTCCATGCAGGCAGGAGTTTGGTGGTCGAGTGAATAGTTTTCTTTGCCACCGTGCGCACCTGGGCCGCGGTCAGGGCAAGTAGGGATCAACACTGAGTAATATAAACACACCTTGATGAGTGCGGATCTGATCTCCTTTGTCTGGTTCAAGAAATCGTCACGCTCATCGGCCAGCATATGTGCAACTTCATCGAAAATGTCGTCGGAATCATCGCGCTCTTCCGCTGTCCGCTCCATGTCGTCGAATTCTGAAAGGAGTTGATCGATATCAAGTACACCTGACAAGGAACGAGTTGAGTAACGGAAAGGTAATTATCAAGGAATATGATGTACCTGCATCATCCTCGTCGTCGTCATCACGCTCGCCGTCCGCGTTTGTATTTTTCGGTGGGTCGAACATTTTCAAGAGGCTTTTCGCGACAAGATTGATGATGTGAGCAAAGCAACGGGTGCGGTCTTTGTCGGCATCGAAGTCGGGTAGCAAGGTTTCGAGGGTCCGCGCCATAACGTCGTTGGAGGAGGCGTTGTCGCAGGTGATGCTGGTGATTTTGCTGTCAATGTCGAAGTCCTTTGCAACTGTGTCGAGAACGATTGCAAGGTTATTGCCATCGTGAGACTAGAAGGATGTGGTCGTTAGTGACGCCTTCAATGTAGATAGGCAATAATACCTTAGGAACTTCAACAAAGTCCAAAAGACAGTTAATTCGTTTGCCGTTCTCCTCCCAGTGGCCGGAAACGGCAACGTAGGCGTGATGATTGGGAGAAGTCCACGCATCAGTCGCAAGACTGATGCATGCCGGTGTTTTCTGAGAGGGGTCGTTAGTATTTAAGACAAAATTGGGTTGCGACCATACCTGGAAACGCTTCTTGAGGCGGGCCCGTGTCTTCTCGAACAGAACCTTGATGTCACGGGCGATGGTTGAGGGAGAGGGGATATATGTAGACGGCCGGCCGGTCTTCATGAGTTTGCGATACGCGCGGTCCTTGGCGATCGCAAAGGGGCGAAGACTCTCGGCAACCCAGCGAACATGTTCAGCGCTGGAATTCCGAGAATTAGCTGCGAAATTGTGACTCAAAGTTAATGCTACTCACCGGCTCTCCTCCTTCGTCATCGGCACATGGGAAAAGGATTCCCCGCCGGCAGCCGCATGCTGCTGGAAAATGTCGGTGAGTCGTTGGTTTTTCAACCCAGAATTGCCCTTCAGCAGTCTGCGCGCCTCCGCGAGATCCTTGACTTTAGAAGCCGCCTTGACATTATCCTCCCCCCAGCATTTCTTCGCGTGCGTGTGAAGATTTTTGGTGGAGCTCGCATCCTTTGACGATTGATTGCGCGCGACGGTGTGGCGGCAATTGCGCGCCGCACAAGTAAACACATGATGGAGCTGCCCATTCTTGTACATGGTCTCTACGTCGCCAGAGTAGAACGCGTAGATGTGGCTAGTCCATGACTTCTTCAATTTCTCTGTAAATTTGTGAGCGCCAGAACAGTGGTTGAGAGAGAAAACAACACACCCAAATTAATATTGTCTTGCTCCTCACGCGTGATGCCCATCCCCTCCTCCTCGATGACAGAACCAGAATCGCTCCCATCACGCTCCGAAGGTGGGGGGGAATCATCGGCAGGAGGATCGTCGGCAGTGAAGTGGAAGGAACCTATGGGGAGTGTGAGGGCAGAACTAGCTTTGGAAGTTACACAAACTTTGGTTAGAGCCTCCCGACGTATCTGAATTAACAGTTTCAAGAGACAGGGTAGATCGCAGGGACGACTCGGATGCTCTCGATGAAGCGGCTCGAGTACAACGTGGGCTATCGCTCTGAAGACCACGAGCAGAACTCTTCTTGGGCGACAGAAAGTTGACGACTTTGGAGGCTGTCTTCTTTGCAGATTTTGCCGCCTTAGAGAGAAACTGACTGGCGCGAGAGGAGGAATCAGAGCCAGAATTAGAGCCGGAATCAGGG